CAGTAGTTACATGTATCCCAAATCTTGGTAGTGCTATTTCAAGTATGGAAATTTTGCCTTGAGGTTAATGTGCTAGACTCTGGACAGAGTGGTCCAGGTTTGAGCTCTGGCAAGGGTCATTGTGTTGTGTTCTTGGACAAGACACTTTTCTCCCTCAGTGCCTCTCTTCATGCAGGAATTGCAAATGAAAATGCTGGAGTTAACCTTGTGATGGACTAGAATCTCTCCTAAGGGGGCAAAAACCAAAGATAAGAGCTGGCCTGATTTAGCAACTATAGGATGGTTGAAATGGAGACTTTAATCTTACGGAGGGTAACAGATCATGTAAAAGCAGAAGCAATGACAACCTAACAGCAACCTTTGATGTTGCAGGTGAAGTTACCAGCAGTAGCCCTGAATGGAAGAAGTGTGATGTAATTGCAAAAGTGATAGCAAACTGTCCAAGTCAAGCAAAGTCTGTTGAGGAGTATTATAAGTTGGTGTCGCCACAGGTGAGTTACAGCTTTAGTCAAGCAGTTGTTGCAATTCAAGCTAAAAAAATGAATGACAAACAATACATATATAAACGGGAAACCACACCAAAAAGTTACACATCAAGTGAATTCAAAGTTCTCACTACCAGTAATCAGGGGTTAGCTTAATCAGAGTTTGATTGAACAAGTTGGCTCTGAATGAAAAGTTGTCATGTAAAAGCAATTTGGCTTGTTATTATTGTGGTATGTTATGATTGCAGACTGTGAGTAACAGTTTCCTCAAATTGAAAAATCATTGTGAACAAAATTGCTTACCATTGTATTAAATGTGTGGTATGTATCCCCTGTTTTCATAGCTTGGTGTCTGTTACTAAGCTTTGTGGATCAAGGGAAAGAAAGCCCTGAGGCCATGACTTATGAAACATGTATAAACCTTGCTCAAGGTTGATGGGAGGAATATTTACTTAACAGGTGTTGCAGTTATTACGAGGAGAAACCAAAGGTGTTGGAAAATTGTTTGCCAGAGCTGCTTCAGCTATCATAAAGGAGATGTTAAGGCAATACCCTGAACTGGCTCAGAAATATGTCCTTTCTCCAATAATTGAACCTTTAGCTCAAACCACGTCAGATCCAGGTATTACACTATTGTAGGTCTTGGCTGACACACTTAAAAAATAATGTAACAGGCCCTTTGCACAATACAATCACATGGAATTAGAGCTGCCCTGCTGGATGGCAAACTGCACATTGGGAAATCCAAAACAAAGAAATTTTAATCTTGTCTGAGTGAGTATATGCTTTGTGTAAGAAGTCCCAGTGCACAATTTTCCATCCAGCATGGCAGATCCTATACCATGTGATTGTATTGTGCAAAAGGCCTATTAAAGTGTACATGTATGTATGAAACATGCAGCCGATGGGTGGTATCTTAAGACAGCCATCTACATATGTTCTAGTTTTCAATGACCTTAACAATGATTTCCAGTCCGTACTGCGCACTCTCAAGAGTTTGTTTCTTTTTTTTGTTTTGACTCATGTAAGACATCACAAAATGTAACTTTTCGCTGCTAGTTACATGAAGTTAATTCAACGTTTCATGTCTACCGCCATTATGGATGCGAAGCTTTTATGATTTGTTCTCTCTGGCATCACTTTTTTTTTGTAAACGAATTGTAACAAATTCATAGCTGTAAAAATCAAAGAAACTGCTGGAAAAAGAATTTAAATTGCCTCAAAGATAAGGTAAGTGGTTCATATCAAATATTATTGATTCATGTTCCATCAATTGAGACTCACAGACATAGCCCATTGCAAAAATGTGAGAGGACTGGGACGAGTTTCTTATATCGATTAGATTGAAAATCTAAACATTTCAACTGAAATGTTACACTGAATTAAAAGCTACCCAGTCAAGTTGGAGAGTTTTCAGCAGAAAATTGTCTAAATGGGAGCCTTGCGAAAGTTGCAAAATTCCATACAAACCTTTACAATTTTGTGGCCTGTCTACCCAATCCATACACACTCTCTATTTTAGGTGATATCATTTTGCCATTTTCCTCCTCTAAATACTTCTATTCTTGCTTAAGACTCAAATTTAGTTGATCTTTCATTTGAATATCTTAGTTTTTCGAACAAACAGAAAACAACCATACTCTTTCCCAGTCCTCTCAGGTTTTTGCAATGGGCTATTGTGGTGCTGAGACTGCGCAGTACACACCAGAAATCACTTTTAAGGACGGTTTTTTTTTTTGACATAATGTTTGGCATACTGTACTCTGGATCACTGCATTCAATAATC